TGAGAAGGAGAAAAACAGGAAGAATACAGTTTCCAAATCAAGCACCAAAAACTACCACCCATGCGCTTGTGGGTAAATGCCCAGGCAAGCAGAGTTAGCTCAAAACAGGACGCAAGTCTAAGGCATTTCCTGGTGGGGGCCCATAGGAAAGGGGCAAAAGGGGCCAGGAAAGTCTAGAAGGAAAAGAGCAAAATCAGGGCTTCCCCGTGGCGCAGCGGGCTGAGCGCAGGGCTGTGAAACTGTCTGCAGCCTCTGCGGTGTGGGTTCAATTCTGGCAGGCCAGGGAGATACCCACATGGCGCGGCAGACTTCTCCTGCATCGCCCGCTGCTCCCCTCAGCAGTGTCTTTGGTCCTTCTGCCTTTTCTGCTCCCCACTCTGTCTCTGGTGAATTCTCTCACCCTCCCCTGCACCTGGCCTATACCCCAGATCTTGCATAAAAATAAAATAAAAAACTAACTAACTAAATAAATAAAAAGAAACAAGCAAAATCAAAATCAAAACCCAAATCAATATAAAGGCTGCCGGTGTCAGCCTCCCCACAGGTCTCTTCCCCACATCTCTGTCTCTTTCAATTGTCTCCTTCCATGTCCCCCAAGTTCCTGATACAAGCCCAGGCCAAGGAGCAAGTACAGCTTCTTCACGTGTCTCCTGCTCACTGTCTCCTCCAGGTGCTGGTCTTGGTATCCCCTTCCTTCCTTCTCCTGCCTTCTCTTGCTCCCCGTCCCTGCTCAGCTCCACACTTCCATGACAGGGCAAGTGAGACACAGGGCAAGCTAGAAATTAGGCAGTTTTAGGGACAGTGCAGGAGGGGACCTCTGAAGAATTTAGGGATTTTCTCCTCAATAAACTTTTTCTTTCTCAAAACAAACCTGCCTCTTCTTGCTTGCTTGCCTGAGAGTCTGCGAAGTTCCTGCTGTGGCTTCGTGAGACACCAACCCGTGGGGGTCTAGTGGCTGGGACTCAGTGCTGCACCTGCAGCCTGGGATCTGTTCCAGGCTGGAAGACTAGGCCTGACAATTCTGGTATCACAAGGAACCTGGAAACTCCCCTTTCCTGGGGATTGCCTTGTTACACCTTCAGCTCTAAAATCATTCCTGTGTATTGGCAGCAAGGTAGTTTCTCCCTGTTTGGATAATATTAAGTATTCACCTGCAGGAGGGTGGGGAAGAACTTTCAACAATGCTTAAGAGAAACCCACACCTTGACCATTCACTCTGCTATCTGATGAGCACTAAATTAATTTCCATATGAACGCATGATGTGGAGGTAAGACACAGAAACACGAATTACAAGAGACACTGCCAGCTCTTATTAAATTTCCCAGAAACACAGTGTGTGCATTAATTAGTCTAAAGCACCTGGAATCTAATGCAAGAGAGATTTACAGGGAGCAGCTGTACAGAGATGGATTAACCCCAGAAATAGGTTTGGCTCTGAGGCTGATGTTTTCTTTTCCTCTCTGAATGGAACAAGATAAGATACATTACTTACAAAATGTAACCATTTCTGGCAGTTTTACCTCTGGTTCCTGCCTCCTACCCCCACCCCAAGTGCTGCCAGTCACAGAGACTGGTTCTGAACACAAACCCCAAAGTTAACTATTAGCCGCCTGGGGCCTCTTCAGCTCAAGCCCCAGAGATGCTTGCGGGTGAATTGTGCAAATCTGGGGGGAAAATGCCAGTTCCTGATCCTCTCAGGCTTGGCCCTGTTTTCTGTCAATCCAGCTTTGCATGATGAATTGAAGAATTTCCCATATGGCCGAAGGCACCAAGGCACCATCACTACTGGGCTTAATCCTAATGCATTTTTTAAGTCCCCCTTTTTTAACCAGGCGCCAAGGAGAAAGGATCAACTTGAAAAAATTCCCTGAACAGGCACCAAGGAAGCAAGAGGCATGAATGCCACTTTCTTTGAAAGGCTGAGGCACTGGGAGTAGAAGAGTTGTCATAAAATGCAGGCTAGAGCTCCAGACCCCCTGGGCTGTGACTGAGGCCAAGGCCAGTGTGGCACCCTCAGGACAGTTGTGACCTGCCTCTTTATGCTCCTGTGGAGAGTTCAGCAGGTGTGATGGGATTTTTTGGAGTTAGTGGGTTTGGAGTGCGGGGTCCTTGGGCTCACTCTGGGAAAGGTTTCACCAGAGCTCCCGTTTCAGCAATACGCGATGAGTTTCCCAGGCAAGTTCCTCCACGAGAACAGAGACATTGGTTATATTTAAAAAGCAGGTTTGTTAGGGAAAGGACAGAAGAATAAAGGACACTTGCATAGACACAAGCAGGCAGGAAGAGCTGCCCTGAAAGGGACAGGTTGGCTAAGAGAGGCCTGCATGTTTGCAGGCAGGTGGCCTTGAGGAGAGCGGCCTCCGCTGAAGGAGGTCAATGAGGGGAAGTACAGGTCACGGGCAGGTAGGGAGCTGCTGCCCTGCAGAGGGAGAGGGTTGGTAAAAAGAAGCACCTGCATAGGCACAGAAGGCCGAGAGATTGCTCCCAGAGCCTGTGCAGAGACTGCACTGATAAAGTCTTCTCTTGTTTGGGAGGGGCTCACTCCTTGTGAGCCTTAGGTTAGTTGCTTATTTTTTTTTTAAGATCTATTTATTTATGCATACAAGAGCTGGGGTACAGGCCAGAGGTGTGGGGGGTGAGAGGTTTCACCAGAAACAGAGTGGGGAGCAGAACAGGCAGACTGACTGAAATACACTGCTGAGGGGAGCAGCGGGCGAGTCAGGAGAGGTCTACTGCGCCATGTGGGTTGCTCCCTGGCTGGGGATGGAACTCGTCCTGCAGTGGCTGCAGATAGCTTCATAGGTTGCATCTTAACCCCTTGTGCCACCAGGGAGGCCCATTTGCTCATTTTGGATAACTATGTAGAATCTGAAAAGGACAGGAGATTCCACAATGGACTTGATCTCCATATCTTTACCCTTGAACCTTTGCTCTGGACACTGCCTACAGCAGCTTGATACCTGCTTGGATCTTATGCTTTGTAATTTGGGCTTTGGCACCTAAGGATCTTGGTTTCCATAGCTGTGTCAACAGCTATGCTAATCTCTTCTACCCCCAATTCCTGTGTGAGCCAGGTTGCTGGTCTTGTGGGGCCGCCTTTGCAGTTTTGCTATTCCTGTCCTCCATCAGGTGTATACCATGTGAACAGTCTTGTTCTGGAAAGAACAGACTTATTTTGCTGTAATCTTGCTGAGTGATCATGGGCAAGTCACTGAACCCCACATTTTCCTCCACTGTTCAACAGAGAGGTAGAGTGGCATGATCTCCAATATCCGCATAATGTTAAGATCCTATTATTTTACTAACAGCAACCTTATGCTTTCACATTGTGGTGGACATGGTGATGGGCCTCCCAGATGGTCCTTCTGTAACAGGGAGCTTCCCAGGAAAAGGGGAAGTGCCAGATTCCCTGCCCCACCCAAGGGAGGTTATAGCTGATCAGGGAAGAGAAGAAGCTGAAGAGGAGACTGGAGAAGGAAGGAAGCAGGATGGAGAGCCAGAAGGAGACCTAGAGGAGGCACATGGAGTGAAGAGACATGTGAAGAAGCTGTGCTTGATGTTTGGTCCTAGACGGACTGAAACAGATGTGGGTGAGAGACCAATGGCAGCATTGATCTTGATTTTGATTTTGCACTTTTCCTCCAGACTTGTCTGGCTGTTTCTGACCCTTTTCTATGGGTCCCCACCAGAAGGTGCTTTAGACTTGTGGCAGACTTTTGGGCCTCAGTGGCCCTGCTTTGGTTCAACCCAGTTTGGCTGGGCATTCACCCATGAGGGCATGGGTAACTTTAGGTGCTTGATTTGGAAACTATATACTTTGTCTTTTCTGTACTGCACACTAATTGTATTAAAGTTACTTTCCATTAAAGGTCTTGTATGTTTTGTCTTGGTGTGGCAGACGGCAGAACGTATTTAGAATGGGCAGGTTTGGGGGTTCTGGGGTGTCCCTCTCTTGCCCTGTAACACTTAAGTGAAGACCTTATTGTCCAGAGTTGGAAAGTGTCACCAGGAAAAATTGCCTCAAATTGCATAAAGCTATATACCAGAGTCAATGATGCTCCTCAGTTCCTCCTGAATAAGCAGCCTTCCTGCTAAGCCCCTTCATGGAGTCAGCTTCCGAGAAAGCCCAGCCTGTCAAGGTCACTCCATAGAGTTGTACAGTTTGAGCCTCTGACTGCACGTCCCCCCAGCCTTCCTCCCTCATTGTAGAGGAAATGAAGTCTCAGATAATGACTTGCCAAGTTCATTCTATAAGCAGGGCTGGGACTAAGTCTTCAGTTTCCCACATCTCAACCAAGTCCTCCTATCATTCCTCACTGATTTCCTCAACTTAAACCACTTTTCTTTGCATATGGAGAGAGAGAGATGTGTAGACAGAGAGATAAATAGAGTCATCCATCCATCTCCTCTGCGAGGAAGAATAATAAGCAAATGCATGCATTCATGAGCTCATTGCCTCTACTTTATATAAATAAACCATTGGCTTTTGTTTGAGGGAATTTTTTTATGTCCTTGAGAAGCCATATCACATAAAGACAATAAGCTGTGGCTCAGGAACCAGGAAAGGCTTCTTATTCTCAGATTCTCATTCTTGTGCTGCAAATATGCTGCATTTGAGAGTAGGATTTTTTCAGAATCCAAGACTGATGGCTGGGGGATAAGAGTGGGGAAGGGTAATCATGTTATGAAATGATGGTTCCACAAAGATTGACGTCATTGGGGAAAGCAGTGTGAAGGAGAAATAGGAATTTCTGTATACACCCACATATTTGTATATATTTATATACATATATTTATATATACACATTTATATTTTATATATGTATTTTTAGCAATATCTTGTGGTCAAAATTATTTCATAAACATTTGATAATAATAATAACTCTCAATGGTTTCAGTTATTCTCACAAAGAGTGGATGACTTGAGGGGTGGGGGAGGGATGGGCAAGATACAGAGCATACTCACAGCACCTCGTTGCCAAGCTAGTGTATTTTGAGTGCCACTCAGTGAGGTAGAGGTGATGAAACTTGTTGCACCAGGCATGTGTTTTTGAAAAACATGCTCTCTATGAAAAAGCTAAGGGACGGACATTCTTTAACCAAAGCACTGAACACTGTCTGCTACAGCACCTGTTTTCTTGTTTGGGTTAAATCACTCCAGGTGATTTAAGTCAGACCAGCTCCTTCATTTCATAGGTGAACAAAAACAGAAACCCTGAGAAGAAAACAGCTTTTGCAGGTCGGCCAAAGAGTGACTGATTTAACAAAAGCAAACAATTCCAAATTGGAAATACATACCTGGTCCGTGGTCTGGAGAGCACCCTCTTCTGTTTCAAGAGCCCAGGGTGCATGGGTGGGGAGGAGAGCAAAAGCCAGCTGCCGCTAGGCTCCCCGCCATGTGCACTGGCATCGGGACTGCCCCATGCAGGCTGCAGGCTCCAGCCAAGAGTGGCCTGCAGCATGGTCAGCAGGTTGTCCAAGGACGGTCATGGAAGTCATGTCCTAAGAAAGGAGCCAGAAAGCAAGAATTAAGCATTTCCAGTTTTATAACTAAATAGCATTCCAAGGTACTATCAACTATAAATCAAATGTGATGTTAAAAAGGAAAAGAAACGAATCACCTAAATGGAAATAACTGTCTCCGATCAAAATATCTTGCAATTAAATATCCATTTCTTCTCTAAGTTCTAATTTTCTCTTAGGAGAAGTCAATGTTTTTGCAGTGACAGTCCAAAGTCATGAGGAGAACAGTGTGAGGTTTTATCCCTGGCACTGAACATTTTAAAGGTATATGTTTTTAATAACGCTTTAAACTGAAATATATCTTATTTATAATCAAGTGCATGAAAATTGGTTTTTACGTTTTATAAACCTGATAACCACTGCCCCGCTGACCAAGACCAAGAGGACATTTCCTGCTCCCTAGAAGCTTCCTGGAGCCCTTGGATATCTAAATAACATTAAAATATTACGAAAATGGAAACCTCCACCATCCGGGTGGCTAGCTCATCCCAAACCTGGCATTATCCTAAAGACAGGCCTCCTAAGACACTCAGGCACCCGAGCTCAGAACGCCCCACCCACTGCCTTCTCAAAACAGGACCATGCCTTGAGAACATCTTATTGACAAGGTAAAGGAAGGCTAAGGCCTAGGGTAAGGCAAAACTTTATTCTTTGCTCCCTCTAAGGAGCCATGTGGAATGGGGGATTGCCGCAGACCAGCTTTCAGCAAAATGTCAGGTCTGAAGTCCTTGAAAGGAAAAGACGGTCTAGGTGCAGCGAAAAGGACTGAGGGGAAGGGGATGAGGCAGTGAGGAGACACTGACACTGGATGAGGTGCAAGTATCTTCTGCCGAGAGACTCAGCAGGTTCTTTATACTTTTTTAGCAAGCCGTGAGATGACAATATCATGTGCATAGAAACAAAGCAGAAACAATCAGTGCATCCTTTTTTCCATAGACTTTTGGCCACTACGTGCTCTCAGTAAGAAGGCAACCTTCAAGGTTAATAAAAAACTAAGCCTTACACTAAAACTCATTGTTTCAGTTAAACAATAACCTAAGACAGTGGATAGCCGCCAGGACACCCCTATCAGCTAAAGCCTAAGCAAGAAAAGACTTTTCTTATTCGCATGGCCTTCAGCCAGGGGACCGGCTGCTACTCAACTATCAGAACTTTTTCTACCTAGAAACTCCTTAACTCAAATAGCTTCATTAAAAAACTTTCCCAAGAAGCTTCAAGAGAAGGCAATAGAAGGACCTTCTATAATTGTTGTGCTGGATTGCTTGTCAGGCATGTACAATAAATTGTCTCCCATTGTCAAGTGGGCCAAATTGTTTAATAACTAATTTCTAAACAGATAATTTTCCGTGCTGTTCACTTACAATATGCTGATACGTGTAATTTATTGCCTAATATACTTTCTGATAAATTTTTCTCTTTTTATGACCAAGAACAACAAGCAAAGGGATGTTAAATCTTTAGCCCCACGGTGTGAGGCCCTTTTTCTTAGCTGCTTGCTAGTACCTTATCTGACTGGGCCAACAAAGCCCCCAGCAGCAGGGGATGGTGAGAACCTGAGGTTTAAGGAAAACCCGGCGTTTGGGGATGACCTGATAGTTTGTCTTATAAGTTATGGTTTTCAATAGAGAACATTGAACTTAAAAGAGTGTTCATAAGTTTGTTTAATCGCCACGGGGTGGTAGAAGCATCCATCTTGAAGTTAAAAAAAGATGCTTCTGGTGTGCTTAAGTCTCTAAACTGATGTTTGCAGAAAGTTTGCCTTTTCTTTCTTCTGGATTGTAGAATCAAGTGCCAAGTATCAAATTTCATTCCATTTTTTTTCCCCAGTGGGAAATTTTCTTCAATTCTCAAGTCAGGATTTACTAATATTTGAAGCTGCTGTCACCTGATGATTTTGGAACTGATTTCCCCAACCTTCTTCATTCCAGTACACATTTCAAAATCCTTCATACTTAGAATCTTCACCCTGAAGATTTCCTCTGTGAGGGATGTGAAATAGAAAGTTGTGGGCCTCCCTGGTGGTGCAGCGGGTGGAGCACTGCACTGTGAAGCTGTATGCAGCCTCTGCAGTGTGGGTTTGATTCCCAGCCGCCCAGGGAGAAACCCACATGGCACGGCAGACCTCTCCTGCCTCTCCCGCTGCTGCCCTCAGCAGTGTCTTCTGTCTGTCTGCCTGTTCTTCTCCCTGCTCTGTCTCTGGTGAATTCTTTCACCCTCCCATGCCTCTGACTATACTCCAGTTCTTATATAAATAAAAAAATTTTAAAAAGAAATAGAAAGTTGCCTATATTTTCTAAAATTCAAATCCTAGTTCATAAAAGGAGTTCAATCACTTTCCCCACCTCTCAAAAATACTGTCTCAATTCCTTCCCAGTGCACGTTCTAGTTAGGAACTGAACCAAGCTATATTAAGGACAATTATAAATAAAAGACTTGAAACTGTGGATCAGAGGGAGGGACAGCGGAGGAAAGAAAATTGTAAATAGATGCCATCATTCCTCACAGGGCCCAAATCAGCCTTTGGAACAAATAAGCCAATTTAATTACTCTTGTTATTGCTCATAAGTAAGAATTTTGAGGAAATACCAAATGCCTAAGAGTTTAGGACATTTTTTTCTTTTTCTCCAAGTGGGAGTTGGAGTTATGTGATTTCAGCAAGGTTGGAGGATGGTGTGTGAGGATAGCAAGAGGTTCCAGTGGAGCTCAGACTGAAGTCCAGCCCTTGCTATGCAACTAGTGGGCTCTGCTCATGCCTTGACACTTGTTTTGACAAGGTAAAACTTCTATTTACTTCTATAGGGAAGGGTTTGCTTTCTGGCTTCAGGAAAAAAAGATTTTTATGTGTAGATGTCTAAAGTGAGAAATACCACCTTGGCCCAAAGATCTATTTATTGTCTCATTATTTGTACTCCCATTTTTACTGCGTTTCTCTGATTATATTATGTAAATATCACACATTCATTGTGAACAACTCAAACCATTTATAAAATATGAAACTTTTGAAATATAAAAATATAATAAAAATTATCTTGTCATCTTACCATAATAATAAGCATTAATATTTTGGTGACATTTTTGCATGCATCTCTTTACATATCTATGTGTTTTTACATAAACAGCATTTAGCATAAATGATAATTTTCCTGGGATACCTTTCCACACCCATATCAGCAGCTTTATCCCCATCTCCATTTTCCCCAAGTAACACACGTATCTTAGCCAGAAAAAAACCTGAGGTTTTGCATGCAAATAGTTTATTTGGGTTCATTACCATGGGAACAGGAAACATAAAGCAGGGAGTGGAAGAAAAGTTGATACCAGGGTGCTTTACTGACCTGGGTACTGCCATGGGCAACTGGGGTTCAATCTCCGTGGGGCCCTCTAAGGAGCTATGTGGAATACACCTCAGAATTGTCCACCGATGGAAGGAAAGATGGAGGGACCTATTTACTCGCTGATTTCTATCTCCCATAGATCGAGGGTCGCCACAGGGGCTATTAATTCCCTCTCCTAGGTTGTACATGAGTGAGCAGGTGCCAGACCGGTGCAGCAGTCATCTCACAGAATGGCTTCAGAAAGGACCTGAGGCAGAAAGTGACAAATAAGGTGCAACTGGACTAAGGTGGTGGAAGGTTATACCTGCATGAAACTGCTCACTATGAAACAATAAACTATAGCAGTAAAAAGGTGAACTGAAGGGATAGAAGACATGAGGCCTGAGAAATGTCCCATACAGTCTACTCCTTACACCACTCAAATGTTCTCACGCCCTCTGCGGAGTCCAGTCAGTCAGAGGGTCTTTGATGTGGTGGTCAGTGACAAGCTCTACAAAAAACTCAGTTAATGGGCCAAGCCTACACAAATGCATGTGGTCACAACACCATTATCAATGTGCTTTGTCTCTTTCCCCCACACCCATTCCAGATTCCCCTCTCCCTGGAGCGAACCTACATTCTTCATCCCTGTGGATTTGGAGGCTGAGTCCCTCACCCCCATCAGGACATGGTTTCTGCATGGGCTGTTTGTATTTCAACTTGGCAAGAAGCCCCAGATCTCCAGAGTTTCTACGTGTGCTCCTTTCTTACTCCATTGTGCAGCAGCAACCCTAGCTCCTCATAGTAATCAGGGTCAATTATCCTGAAAACGATCACAATAGAGTTCATTGTGGCTCACTGGCTCAAGGAATATAAATGCGTAGGCAGTAGATATAACATCAAATCCTGAAGAACCTTGCTGGTACAAGTATGCCTCCCAACCTCCCACCTCACGTCCCTGGAGAGCCTCTAATCTAATAGGGTGAAAGGCGTAGGGTGAGAAGGATAAATTCCTCCAGTGGATCATTAGGAGTAATGGTGAGAGCGGCTGGTCCTTCTTTCACCTCTTAGTTCCAGGATCCATGCTTTCTCGATATTAGTACACAGATTATATATTGGCCATTACTTCAATGTGTATAACACATGTTGAAAGCTGCCTTCCACCATCACAGAGTGTTTTGCCCAAGATAAAATGTTAAAAGTTTTTAATGTCTCTCCTCCTTCAATTATGCTGTCAACTTCCCAGGTGACATGCTGTATGGTAGAATCAGTGATTCCTGCAGACGTGCTGCCAATGTCATACTTATTTCACCATAAAATGTGCCCAGAGGCACATGTTATATATCAGAGGCAATGTTATATAGGCTCTATGCTGGTAAATTAGGCAATCTGTTGGCTCTTGAATAGAGATGCTGGCAGTCAGGGAAGGGAATCTTACATCCAGAATGGATGTCAATTCTTGAGAACAAATCACTCTCCATAACAGGGTAAACTGGGTGAAGAAATGCACCTGTTACCATGTAGCTGTCTGGTCTACTAAGTGATGTTATCACAGCAAGAGCTTGGCTGTGATTTCTTTGACTGGAAATCTGGGCATTCATGAGTGGCAGTGACTGATGAATCACCCATGATGAGAAGAAACTCATGCCTCTGGACTCAGGTATGATCAAATCACTCTTGATCTCAATTTTATGACTTTTTTAGGGACTGTTGAATCAGCCCTGGGGTGACCAAGGAGACAGGTTCACTGTTGTCCACACAAAGGGAACATTCTCTGTGGAGGTGCTCTCTGAGGTGAGGACTCACATGAGACACAAAGGTCTTACACCCTGTGTCCACTCCCATGGACAAAAATGCCTCAATTCCTAACTTCCTTTGACGTTCACCTTCTCATCTTGCTCCTTCTCAGCACTGAATCATTCAGAAAGTCACAAACCACTGCCAGGAGTCTATTTTATAGCCATAACGGAGGGAGGTCAACATTGCCACCATTCAAATTAAGTCATCAGGGCACTGCCTGCAACTCTTGCCACTCCTCACTGTCTCATTGGGCGCTCCTGGGTGAGGCTATTTAATGAAATTGTAGCCCTGGATATCCCATTACATCTCTAATCTTAATATCTTCCTCCTAAAACATATGTTCTTATAAATGGATGTCCTAACATGGACTGATGTAGACATTAATAATGATTTCTTGATTATACTTATGTAATGACATATGGCTGATTTGATAGATATTGCTCATTTGCAAAACCCTACCAATTAACTTAAATTGAGCATCCCATTTTTTTTTCTTTCTGCAGAGAAGAACTAGAGTGTAGACTTGAAGCTACACCGGAATGAGAGGATTCACCGGAGACAGAGTAGGAAGCAGAACAGGTAGATTTACTGAAAGACACTGCTAAGGGGAGCATCTGGTGAGATAGCAGAAGTCTGCTGAGCCCTAGGAGGGTCAGCTCCCTGGCCTGGGCTAGACTCAGGCCTCAGTGGTAACAGCGCTGAGACTTCACCCCTGGGACACCAGGGAGGCCCAACAAACCAAATTTGCATTACACCTACCATGTGTACTACCTCTATTGTGTACTTGGGAAGATCCCAGGTCACCACTTATTTGGTTCCTTCTCTGTAA